GGATAACGTTCGATTCGATTCGAATGGCAACAGCAACAGATGGTATTTTAAGTTTAACGGCAATGAATGTAATGGTCCCTTGCCGATCGATTCAGTCGTTGACACTAACTGGGCGAGAGAAATTTCTAACATCCTCCGTCATCATACCTTTGATGGTCATTGTGAAAACCTCGCACGGGGCACAGTGAGCGTTGAACTCTGGGTGGGCGAGTGCTGTGGGTACAGCACAAAGGGTAACACTTACACAGGGTGGAATTTAGTGTCCCGGATTATGATTGAAGAAGAACCACCATCCCAGTAGTGCAGTTTACATTCATAACTGGGAAAAAGATAAGATTAGGCGGTATATGCAGAAACCAAGTCTTATTTTAAGTTAGCTTATCATATTTTAATTTCTAATGTACTTCGACATGCGATCAATTGTTTCTTGATGGTCAAGTTAGTTGAAACTTCAATACGGCGGCTGCAGCAAATCTCGAAAATAAGCAAACTTCAGACAAGGGTTACCGCAAAACTAAAACTTATCCCCCAAAATTGAGAGTACATCTGTGAACGTCTATCCTTAAACTGTATCTGCAATATAGTTATCGGGTTTTTCTTGGCGTACCAACAAGCGTTTTTGGCAGTTGTTTTAGGGTACCACAGAGCTATTAAAAAACAGCCGCAAGGTGTCTTCGAGAAAAAAATTCATAAAATATTTTTAACTATAGAATATCTCCTTTTCATGTCATCAACGAATTGTTCAAGGGTCTAACTATAAAGTTATCGCAAAGGAAAATTCAAAGATAGTTTCCGATTTACGCTGACAAGCTAAATATCGAAATTTGGCTCGATCTGGACTCAACCGTTTTTATTTAGTTACTCTCAAAAAAATTAATATTAGAACAAACTAACCCTGTTTTGGTTACTTTGATACAAGGGTCTATCAATAAAGAAAGTATGAGCGAAATCGATTTTTTTGGCTGTGTCCGCGATTTTGATGATCATGTATGATTTTTAATGACACTGGTTCTCAAGGTAATTCCTTAGTATTGCATTGCGCATCTCTACTGCGCACGATTTTCGCGGCATTAGCGCGCACATGAACACGTGCGCGTCCAAAACGTCACAGATTTCCCTCAAATTAAGCTCGATAGCGAAATAAATGCTCCTTTTCTCTCAAACGAGCACGGTGAACCCCGATTTTTTTGTTTTTGTTTTTTCAGGTGTTTGCTAAGAACAGTCTAATAAAGAACATATTTGAAGAAGAAAGAAAGTTTGATAGTAGAATTTTTGTTGGAAAATATTTCCGTACTGGGTGTATTTTGGCCAAGGCGAGGACTTCAAGCTAACCACGGAACTGTCCGAAAAAGCGCAATATTCCCACAACCAGGCAATCAAAAACGGCGTAAATGAAGCAATACTACTTATGTGAATAAAAGAAGCTTGATTTTCCAGATAAAATTTTGTGTCTTTCAAGTAACCAAGACTTAATTCTGTAAGAAGATGATTCGAGTTTTTAACGCGCAACCAGTAAAAATACCTCATTTTAAGAGCCTGCTGACGCGTAAACAAGTACGGTGACCCCATTTTTTTATTGCATTTTTTTTAATGTTCATATCATGAATGTTAATTATGAAAAGTTTCAAAACAAGTTTGTTGGTAGAACAATTTCAAGGGAATTACCTATGAAGGCAGATCGTGGACAAAATGTTCGACTCGTCGTTTCGTTATGGTGTTTCATCGTTTCGGCACAACGATACTTCTAGTCGACTCGTTGTTTTCCGAGTTCGACTCGTCGAATTGCCAGTTCGACTCGCCGTTTCAAGAAGTCGGCTCATCGCTTCGTGAGTTCGTCTCGTCATCTCGTCAGTTCGATTCGTCGACTGTCCTCTTGGACTTGTCGTTTTATGAGTTCGACTCATCGCTGACCACAACTGTTCGTCGTCGTTTGTCGTTTTGTCGTTTCGTCGTTTCACTATGGCATTTCATCGTTTCGATGTGGCGTTTCATCGTTTCGACTTGTCCACTCAGAGAGACGTATGAAGTATTACTTGATTCCATGCATACATGAAGTAGATGATTATATGAAGTGTTACTTGAGTCCATAAAGTGTTTATCCATGATTTGCCTTCTATCAACTGGAGGAGGTACGTACACCACAGTATAGATTTCGTCTTGAATCGCGGAAATGATTGTTTTCATGAAAGCGGAAATGGGATTGGATATTCGTTAACACACCTTGTTCTTGATGGTGATGACAACACATTGCAGAGACGGTTGTCAAGTTTACAGTATGAAATTAAACCCTTCTCCCAGTCAGTGAGACCCTGGAATGTCTTGCTGACATTTGCTGCCACGTGCTCTTGCATAATAACATAATTTATGCGCCGTAC